AATGATATGATTTCGATGGGATGTGCTTTGAATGAAGAAAAACTAATAGTCGGTCATAACGTGAGTTTTGATCGCTCGTACATTAAAGAACAATACCATATGATTGGAGATAAAACCAGATTTTTAGACACTTTAAGTCTTCATATGTGTGTCTCAGGACTCACTCAACATCAAAGAGCTCTTTCATATTCCTCAAAGATATCAAGTATTGACAACACTTCCAATGGTTCTCATATGTGGAGTGGAATCGGATCTCTAAATAATTTAGTCGATGTTTACCATCTTTATTGTGATGACAAGACTATATCAAAAGATCCCCGAAATATCTTTATTAAGGGATCAATTAGTGATGTTTTAGACAATTTCCAAGAGTTGATGAATTATTGCGCAAATGATGTTGAAATTACTCATAAGATTTTCAAATCAATTTATCCTTTATTTGTGGAGAGATTTCCACATCCAATCACTTTTGCGGGAATGTTGGAGATGTCTGTCATGTATTTACCCGTCAATCCATACAATTGGAACCGTTATGTCTCTGAATGCGAGGCCATATATAATGATCAGGAAAGGGAACTCAATCTGTCTTTGCGTGAAATAGCGAACGATAGCTGTTCTCTCGCCACTCATCGACAATACACTCATGACGTCTGGCTTTGGGATTTAGACTGGAGTACAGATGTTATCAGATTTAAAAAGCCTAAAACCGAGTCAATCAACAAAAAAGTGACGAAGAATAGTGTGTCCGAAGAAGTATCAAATGTTTCATTATTTGATTCTAAACTCAACGATATAGTAATGAGTGAAAGTGTGGCTACAATTATGGCCACGAGTTCACTGCTGAAGAAAGTGCAACCATTATTACCAGGATATCCAAAATGGTATCTCGAGTTCTGCTCTAAATTCAAGTATGATTTCAGCGACGATAGCGTTGCCACCGCTGATGACTTAGAGTGGGAATCAGGACCTTATCGTATAAGCAGTCAAATGCGTTCAGTTCCTAAACTTATGCGTCTTCTGTGGAACGGATATCCACTTCATTTCGACGAGAAGTACGGCTGGGGTTATATCACACCCGATCCCAGAGCACAGGGATGTGCCGATCGTGTAGAAGGAGGTATCGATGATAATAAGAATGTTATTTATTTTCCTATGAAAGAGTTTAGAGAACTTTTACAAAGACGAGAAATGCCGCCAAAAATAGTCAATTTGGATGATATTTATGAAACGTTTGCTGAATTAGAAACAGATATCGAAATGAAAAACGAAAACATGACGAAAGCCTACGAAAACGTGATTACAGGCTGTCTTTTCTATAAGTTGCCCCATAAGGGAGGGCCCGACAAAAGAGTCGGCAATCCGTTATCAAAAGTATGAAAATTTTATTTATTTATTTATTTGAAAACTAGGGAAAGACAAGACCAGTTTCAATATTTTATTGCAACAAAAATTATAAGCAATAAATTATTGTATTAAAGCTGATGATTAGCTTATAGTCTATAAGTTATAGATAACACACTAATCTATTTGTTTTACATTCATTGATATTGTAAAATTGTTGAGAGAAACACACAATTGTGTGGTTCTCTTGTTCTCACACGAAATAATTTCAGTTAAATTGTGATCTATTGTAGGATTTTCTGAAGAAAGTAGAGGACGGGTCGTTAACTTCATTGGACAGTCAGATAACTAACTCAGTGCTCAATCAAAGTAAAAGAATATCGTATTGGAAAAATGCATCGAAAAGGATTTGCTCGCAAATCGTTTTATCTAACGATAATGGAAATAGTGGTGCAATTCTGCCGCGAGTTATAGTGGCCGGAACTGTGACCAGACGTGCTGTAGAGCCGACGTGGTTAACGGCGAGTAATGTTGTCACTGACAGACTCGGCAGTGAACTCAAGTCTATGATTCAATGTCCCGAAGGCTATCATTTTGTTGGCGCGGATGTCGACTCTCAAGAGTTATGGATCGCTTCATTAATAGGAGATTCGCATTACTCTGGAATACATGGTTCGACAGGCATTGGATGGATGACACTCCAGGGCAATAAAGCCGACGGCACTGATATGCACAGCAAAACTGCCGCTTCTATTAATATAAGTAGAGATGAGGCGAAAGTATTGAATTACGCGCGGATTTACGGTTCCGGTCAACCGTTTGCCTCACGATTTCTGATGCAATCGAATCCATTACTCGATGCAAAGGAAGCCAAAGAAAAAGCTAAAAAGATTTTTACCGAAACCAAAGGCAGACGAAAGAAATTGTTTAAAAAGGATTTCAACGAATCGAAAGACAATAATGTGAATGAAAAGAGACAGTGGTTTGGAGGCACTGAATCTCATATGTTTAACAAACTGGAAGAGATCGCAGAATCACCAGAACCGAGAACACCAGTCCTCGGCTGTCGTATTAGTAGAGCTTTGGAGCCACAAGTGGTCAAAGATTATTATATGACATCGAGAGTCAATTGGATCGTTCAGTCCTCTGGCGTTGACTTTTTGCATATAATGTTAGTCACAATGAAGTGGTTAATGAGTGAAATGCAAATCTCCGGTCGATTCTCTATTTCGATTCACGACGAACTCCGATATTTGGTCGCCAGTGAACACCGATATAAGGCTGCGTTAGCCCTACAACTGTCCAATTTGTTAACCCGATGTCTGTTTGCGCACAAAATGGGTTTCAATGATCTGCCCCTTTCGGTCGCATTCTTCTCCAGTGTAGACATCGATAAGTGTCTCCGAAAAGAAGTGAACATCGACTCGAAAACTCTGTCCAATCCTCTCGGCCTTAACATAGGATACGGAATCCCTTTCGGAGAATCTCTCGATATAATTGCCTTAATGAACAAAATTGATGTTTGAATGCATATTAAAGTGTTATTATTGTTATATCGATAATAAAATGATTAAATTCTGTTTAAACATGTATTCAATTTGTGCGCTCTCTTTGGTGCTCATGTCGTAACGTTGTTTGCGAACAGTTGTGTCCTGTTGTTAGTGAAAGGGAGTCCTTTGTAGTGGTCGTGAGTCATAGTGCGAGCGAACAACTCATGCCAACCGTTGCCGGCATTTAAATCGTTAAAAGTGTTGACATTTGAAGCGATTGAACGGTAAGAATGAATGAATGATTCAATGTCTTAATGAGTCGATTGTCTCAACAATTGTGGCAATGATTGTGTGAATGAGTGGACTGTGTGTCCGGTCGAGTGAATGGAGTGATAGTAGTGTAGAGCTGTGTATAGCTATTGTAGTGGTATTGCTGTGAATGAGTGGTTACGCCCACCGCCAGCACTCCCACCACTCCCTCCTATAATAGTGTATTTCAATTGCTTGTCATTATATCTCTCAGACATCTCTGACTAGTGGTCAACAAAACTACAAAACTATTGTTTCATTCATTTGATTCATTCATTTACACGAATGTAAGTCTCGTTTGAAAACATTTAATCATTTCTATAAAACTATAAACACTTTGTTTTTCCCAACTTTTGTTTCAAACTTTTTCATATGTTTTTAATTGCTTTCATTTATTTCCAAATCATTTATTCGTGTTTTTAATGTATTGGAGAAATGAAAAACTCATTAATGATTAGTGTTTAATGATATTCCCTCTCATTATTAGCTAATAATGATTTGCCTTTGAATGTCCGCTAAAATGCAACAAATGATTGACTTTTATAGTAATTATTTTTTTTATATATTGTTTAGAAATACATAAAAAGTCATTTCAATTAAAGTATTGTTTTATGGGATGAATAACAGGTTGTCTCTCACCTGTTGTTTCAGACAATTATGTTTTTAATGCATTTAAATTGCTTTCAATTTGTATGCAATGCTATAATAAACTCGAAAAAGCATTTAATTGCTTGAAAATTGTGAGAATATTGTATCCATTGTTAACATTGGATGCAATTTGAGAGCTATTAGTGATATAATGTTGTATTGTATGAACAGATCTTTGGTTGTCTTAAGCGATGCTGAAGTTCATCCGTGGAAAGGGAAGTCAGGCGACCGCCGATCGCATCAAACTTCAGAAAGAACTCTTCAGCTTCAATAAAGTGAGTCCACTCTCATTATCAGCATTAATACCATTGTATTGCTTTCATTGCATACCATTTGCATTAATTGTTTACAAACATTGCATTTGTCAGTTTGAGTCACATTTCACAGTTTGAGTCATGGTTATATAACATTGTTTTATAAACTTTGTAAAAACAACATATCGAGACTGTTAGCTGTTATGCAAACAATGTCTCGTCAATTGTCATTTGCCATTCAATTGACTTTTCTTTAGTTTAATTGTTTGCTAATAATAATGTCATAATAATAATAGTTTGCCATACATTCACTGTATTTGAAATGTAACATTTTATTTCCATATACAGTATTACATGTTATAGTATTAACTATTTGCATACATATTATATTAATAGTGTATAGCTAATTTTGACATGATTACCAATATAATATATATTATAACATATACACCATTTTAAGTCATACATCCGATGGAAATCTTTTAAATGCAATTATAATTGCATAATAATTTTAATTTCCAAAACATGATAATGTATTTAATATGCATATTATAGAGTATTTTTCTAATTACCAATAAATATAACTTTGATTCAAATACTTATAAACACGTAAAAATACATAAATTGTATGTATTCTAGACTGGAACCCATGGCTTTCCAAACCATCCGAGTGCTGTGGCTTACGATTATGGGTTAGGATTAGTGGCTGTGGGCACCCGAACTGGTTTACTCCGAATGTAAACATTTGATAATTGAATCATTTAATGGTTTTTGTGTTAATGAAATGCATTTTGTGGACAGTTATGGAGCGCCGGGCGTCGAGTTCTACTCTCAACTCGAAAATGAGACAGAAATCAGACAAATATTGTTCATTGAAGGGAGAGCTCAACTCATAACACTATCGGCTGATAGTTGTTTGCATTTATGGGAAATCAATACCAAATCAAAGGAGAATGACGTGAAGAACGGAGTGTTAGAATGCGTGAAGACATTCGACTACTTCCGCGTCGAAGCTTTAAAAGAAGGATCAATCAAACAAATCACAACCATTGCTGTCAATTGCAACTCTGACTTACTATTGGTTGGAACGCAAATGGGAAACACATATTTGGTTGATTTGGACACTTTTGACTTAAGCGATCAAATCATATATCAAGACGTAATCCTACAGAACATTCCCGATGAATATAAGTTCAATCCGGGATCAGTTGAAGTGATTGCAGAACAACCCTTGAATCCAAATAAGTTTCTAATTGGCTATAATAATAGAGGACTTTTGGTTCTGTGGGACAACAAAACTCTATCAGTGGATAACTACTACTTTGCAAATCAAGTATGAATTAATTCATTGCATATTTTATACAAATTAAACGGAAATTATTTATTATGTAAAGCAATTGGAATCAGTGTTTTGGCTCTCAAATGGCCAGCAGTTCATTAGTGCCCACAATGACGGCAGTTATATTGTTTGGAAGATATCCGATAATCTCCATCCGGCAGATCAGCCAAAGACCCCTTACGGCCCCTTTCCCTGCAAAGGAATTAATAAAATCATTTGGAAAACTGTCCAAAACAAGTATACAATTATACCATTTCAACACTTTATGGTATATTTAAAAACCATTTGTTTTTTTGTCAATTAGTGACGATTTCATAATATTCAGCGGAGGAATGCCTCGCGCCTCGTATAACGACAAGAATACTGTTTCCATAATTCAAGGAACGCCCGAAAGTGGTAAACATCATGTCCTGGATTTTACATCAAAAGTAATCGACTTCTTAGTGATTGGTCCCCAAAATGATACAAAAGGTTTGATTGAATTAAAGTTAACAAAGAATTCGGAAATTAATTTCTTCTACAATTAGATTTCGATAATCCGACGACTCTTATTGTATTGGTTGAGGAGGAGATAGTGTTGGTCGACTTGACTCATCCGGAATGGCTTCAACATAAACTGCCTTACCTTTCGAGTGTTCACTCCTCTGCCATCACTTGTTGTCAACACTATAGCGCTGTTTCCGATCAGATCTATAAGAAGATCGTTGAGGCGGGAAAAGTGCACAACACCGCAAGATTTACTACAAATGAATGGCCCATTAATGGCGGTCAAAGTGTAGCTAACAATTTGAATGCTGGCCGCGAACTGCTAGTGACGGGTCACGAAGACGGTAGCGTTCGTTTCTGGGACTCCAGTTCTGTGGCGTTACAACACTTGTATACTCTGATGACTAATAAGCTGTTTCTTGTGAGCGATGATGACATTGCGCTCATCGATAGCGATGACAACGCTCTGAATGAGACGAATGCAGAGGACGAGTGGCCGCCGTTCCGCAAAGTGGGCACATTTGATCCCTATAGCGATGACCCAAGATTTGCCATTAGAAAGATATCGCTCTGCATTTACACGGGTTCTCTGATTATAGCGGGAACTGCCGGTCAAGTAATTGTGTTTGAATTTAACGGAGAAGCCATTGAAAAGCCATTGATTAGCAATCAGTTGAATATTGTTGGAGATAAAGATGGTTTCGTATGGAAAGGACATTCGCAACTGACCCCTAAAAATGGTAACATTAAGTTTGAATCGGGATATCAACCATCGAGTATAGTTCAACTGCAACCGCCCGCCTCTGTCACTGCGCTCGCACTTTACGCTGAATGGGGTCTCTTAGCCGCCGGAACGGCTCATGGATTTGCTATTTTTGATTATCTTTTCCGGAAAGTGGTCTCAACTAAAACCACATTAAACCCCAACGATCTGACGGCTGTTTCCGGCGGCGATGCTTTGATTTCACGACGAAAATCATTCAAAAAGAGTTTACGCGAATCATTCAGACGTTTAAGAAAAGGCCGATCACAACGAGGCGACAAAAGAACCGCTTCTCCCACATCGACCGCTGCTTCGTCTTCATCGCCATCCAAGTCCATAGAAGAGGGCCGCAAATCACCCAAAACTGAAGTGATTCAGATCGAAGCCAAACCTGTCGAACGACAAATAGAGGCCCGATCTGCTGAAGACTCGATGGGATCAATGGTTCGCTGTCTGTATTTCTCGAATGCATTTATTGTCAACAGTAAGTCAAACATTTGAATACTTTATTTGACAACTGTATTGAAATGCCATGAATTTGATTGTTTCAGATTCGACTCAAACACCGACTCTCTGGGCGGCCACTAATGCGGGCAATGTATTCATATATACAATGGTATTGCCTTCCGATGACAAGAGAGCATCTGAAGACGTGAGCTCTCAATTGGCCAAAGAAATTCATTTGAAACATAGAGCGCCTATAGTTGCCATTCAGATCATTGATGGCAACGGTGTTCCTCTTCCCGACTCTTTTGAGGTGCAGAAAGGAGTGGCGAAGATTCCCACTCCTGGAGGACATCGGGTTTTGATCTGTTCTGAAGAGCAGTTCAAACTATTTAATCTCCCAAATCTCAAACCACTCCATAAGTTCAAACTGACAGCACATGAAGGGGCCAGAGCTCGGCGTATAGCCATTGCACAGTTCATCAGCAAAACCAATGACAGTCATCTGGAATATCACGCGTTGTGTCTCTCAAATCAGGGCGACGTCAGTGTCCTCTCAGTTCCCGAATTAAAGCGTCAAATGCAGACCCAATGCACTAAACGTGAAGATATTAACGGAATATCAAGTTTAGTGTTCACTCGAAACGGAGAGGGATTTTATTTGCATTCTTCGAGCGAATTCAGACGCTTCTCGTTATCGGCCCGACATATAGTTGAGCCCATTTGCACCGTTGACTTACCCGAAGGCGCCCGACCCTCAAAACCTATCCAACAAAGACCACCGATTGCTGCCGCGTCTGTCACTGAGGAACCCATTCCTCCAAAGCCTCAAAGAGAAAAGGCTATCGAAGAGAAAACACAACCGGAAGAGAAGATTATACACGAGGAAAAAGAGATCATTGAAGAGCCCCTTCACGAAGACAAAGAGCTGCAAAATGATTGCGCAGACGAGTCGACGCCAACCAGTGGTATAGACGAGTCTCCTGTCAATCATAATGACTTTGAACCGCCAGAGATTAACTACAATACACTTCCAGAGCCTTCTGATGAGATAATAGCTGATGAGGAGCTGTTGACCAATGGAAACACCAACGGAAATGCCGTTAACGGTGACAATGATTCAGATTCTCAGCTTGAATTGGATGTCGACATCGATGTGTCGAATGTGACCGAAAGCTCTGTTAAAACCAATTCATTGGATATCACTATTGATAGCGTGAGGGATCATTTGGCGTACGATTTAGTCATTTACTACAAATTAAGTCTATTAATTGATCATTAATTTAATATCTATTTAGGAATCTAAGTATTTCTGTCGCACCGGAAGCTAATGAAGCGGTGAAGAAGAATCCGTCGCCAATTCCTAATGAATCGCTTCCAATCATTAATTCACACGAAGGTATGCTCTCATTCCTATTGCGTTCATAATTACATATTTGTCTCATTCAAACAATTATTTTTATTTTGCAGATTAAACACAATTTTATCAATATATTGGGAATTTCTCGCAAAACATATTTTATATCATATTTTAATAAAGCTTTCTTTCGATATATATTCTCTGATCTTTGGTTTCTTAGTGTTTTAGTATTTTAGTTGTCCTCAGAATCTTAAGTAATTTATTTGGTTTTAAAGTCTTTATTATAAAGTAAATTGTTTTCCAATATTTAAGTAATAATTTGCTCAAAATTATAAATTTAATAATTAATGCTTTCGTTCTTTTGAATCACTTTTTATACCTTTTATATAATTTAAAAACCTATTCATGAGAAGGATTTTAAAGTATATTAACTGTAAATTAGATTATAATTACATTTTCTATAAAAGGGTTTATATATTGATAGTTGAAAACAAATCTATTTACTGTTTACTCATATAAAGGGGTATTTCTTCCGTCAAATGTGGAAAATGTCTGAAATTTGCATTTCTATTGATTTACTAATTAGTGATTACATGAATGGCCTTAAAGTCTTGTTTCGCTTTCAAAAACTACTTTTCAAAAGACAATGAAATCTATTCTCTCTTTTCATTTCTCTTCGAATGTATTTCTAGTTTTGTATTCTTTACAAACATATATACAGTATATAAATATTATTATTAATTATTATTAATATTATTATCAAATTATATAAATTTATTGTAAATTTCGCTATTTTTCTTATAATCTGATAAATAATCAATCATTTCATTAAAACTAATTAATCATTAAATTTGTAATTATTTTTCCAATAAATTATTCAACTTTTCATATAATTTATACAAAATTCTAATTTTAATGAATAATAAAAATAAAACTTTTTGTGGGAATTAGTGTTGAATTGTGTAATACAGTAATGATAGCAATGGTTGGCCACGACTGGCAATGACCTCAATATTCATATTTGGTATACAATTATGCATTCAATTCAATACCAATGGATGTAAACGTTTAACAATCAAATGGAGTGAACACTAAATGTGCGTTAAATGGCTTTCAATTACAAATTGAGTCCAACTTTGCATCACTTGTTTGAATGTTTGGTTGCAATCGATTTAACGGCTCTTTCCATATATGAGTTCGCATTGAATGCAACGCCAAAGCGATGGCTATAAAGGGCACAAATGGACGTGTTGTGCGTCACAGCCAATCAGACAACGCAAATGTGTTAGAGAATTGTTAGAGAAGTCAGAGTTTGAGACACATTTGAGCCAATGATAGGCGCGATAGAGGGCTTAGAGTTGTGCCGCAAATGTGAGTTGCATTGAGAGTCGCATTGAATGCCTAATCACTTGAATCGTTGGTCTCGACCGCAATAGACGTGCCATTCGTTGCCATTCATTGACTGCCATTCCAGACGACGACTAAGCCGTAAGTGTTGACAGTTGTGTTGGGTTGAGTGCATTACTGTATTGACTGAGTGTTGTGTTGGATGTGTTTAGATGTCTTCGGGAGACAAGAAAGCGGTGGTGAAGAACGCGGACATGTCTGAGGAGATGCAAGACGACGCCGTGAACACAGCGTTGCAGGCGTTGGACAAATACAACATCGAGAAAGACATCGCCGCTTACATCAAGAAGGAGTTCGACAAGAAGTACAACCCGACCTGGCATTGCATCGTCGGCCGCAACTTCGGCTCATACGTGACCCACGAGACCAAACACTTCATCTACTTCTACTTGGGTCAGGTCGCGATCCTCCTCTTCAAGTCCGGTTGACACCACTCAACACATATGACAGCATTTGTTATTATATTATAAATACCATTATATCTAACCATTGATTGTAGTATTGTTTCCGCACTTTCTTCGAGACATACTTTCTTTCGGATTATTTTTATCATTATTTCATTTAATTAACAGTTATTGTAATAAATGTGGAAATAGTTTTCAAACAATGCATTGGTTTTTATTATATGAAATGACTTAATGCGAAGACATGTTAACAATCATTCTTAAAGCCGGTGTGAATGGAAGCGATTCCTCGCAAAAGGTTTGTGTAGTCAACGAACCGAAAGCCCGCGCTTTCTATCATTGATTTAAACTCGTTTTGATCGGGAAATTGACGAATGCTTTCCACTAAATATTGATAAGACTTCCAGTCTTTGGCCACTATTTCGCCGAAAACTGGAATCATTTCGAATGAATAAAAGTCATAGAATTTGGCAAACAATGGGTTCTGGAGTTGAGAGAACTCGAGGCACGAGAATATAGCGCCCGGTTTGAGGACCCGATGCGCCTCTGATAAGGCCTTCTCGATGTGCACAACATTTCGGAGACCAAACGCAACGGTAAACGCATCGAAAGAGTTGTCTTCAAACGGCAAACTCATGGCATCGCCTAAAACCCATTCAATGCGCTGACAGTCACTCCCAGACCACTCCTCTCGGGCTCTGTTTTGGCCCACTTTCAGCATCTCTTCATTGATATCACAGACAATGACTTTGAAAAGCTTGTCGTCGGGAAACGTGTCCCTCATATGAGTGATGAACTGATGGGCGATATCTCCAGTGCCGCCACACATGTCCAACAGAACGGTTCCCTTCAATGGATCCAATCGTGTGATAAACTCTCGTTTCCAATACCGATGAATACCTAAACTCATGACATCATTCATCAGATCATAACTGTTGGCCACAGAAGTGAACACTTGATTCACTAAAAGATCCATTCAATCGTTAGTCAAGACATTCAACCCATGGATTCAATTCAATGTCCAAACCTTTTGTCGACTTTTCTTCCGCCGAAACGCTTTCGAAACCGAAATGAGTTTTGTTTGAAACCATTCGTCGACTTAAAGACATCCATCTGTGGATCAAATGATGGTATTTTGTGCTCAAAACTGAAGTCATTTCTATTTATTTACATTTAATGTTTTGCTTTCAGTAGTAATACAGTTATAGTCAACACAAACACTCATTTCATTCACACATTCAGTTGTATAAGAATTGTACACAAAAAGGGTTCGATATATACCTAACTATCCGTATGTTTCATACAATTTTGAAATATTCCCAACATTTGATAAAAATATAGTTATTTTAATAGTTTTAATAATTAATATTTTAAGAATTAGTACAAATAATTGCAAAATACATTTATAATTAAATATTTTAAAATATTATTTCAATCATCAATACTTAGGGTTGTGACACTCGATAAATTACAATTTTACCGTGGTAATTTACATGTAAATTACCAAGTTTTCTGAATCTTACATGTAAATTACAACATTCAAACACGTGACTTGTCAAAATATAAAGAACTTTTGGTATTAGTCATGTCCAAATTGCCAATTAAACAATTTTTTTAAAACTAATTTTGAAAATTAATTATTACTTGATTTATAATTAAAATTGATATAAATGAGAGACAATAATGACTTTATAAATAATAAATAACGATAAAAATTGTTTTTATTCATTATTTTTGCTTCAAAAATTTCGAACTTAATTGTAATTCTTAGAGAAATTCTGTGGATTTTAATTATATTACAAGTGATAACTATCGTAATTAGGTATATAATTAATATTCCATAAAGAACTTAACCTTAATTCAATTTATTTGTGGAAAATTACCAATTTTACCGAATATTACCGTAAATTACCGAATATTACCTGTAATGTAAGATTGAAATAATTAGGTATATAATTAATATTCCATAAAGAACTTAACCTTAATTCAATTTATTTGTGGAAAATTACAATTTTACCGAATATTACCGTAAATTACCGAATATTACCTGTAATGTAAGATTGAAATGAATATTACCGGTAAAGTAACAACCCTATCAATACTACTAATTTTACACCCTTAGCCTTAGCCTTAGAATAGAAGCGGAGATATATTATATGTGTAAAGGGTATAAACCACGGTAATCTTAAACAAGGCTCACACAGCGATGTTATACGTTAACCACAATTCGGGAAATGCATCAAAGATTTTAAATATTTCAATACTATTGTTAGAATACTTTCACTGTTATTATTTTGAGAATTTTAAATGTTTTTGACAACAATTAGTTCTATTTATTATGGCAGATTCATGATATACCATTACCCATGTTATTCCTATGTCATAGACTTAACATTGTCCATAGGATTAGCATTGCCATAGACTACCCCCCCCCCCCCCGCTCTATGGGATTTAACATGGGATTTCAGCTTAAGTCTATGGCTATACTTATAGATCGTAAAATTGTTAAAATTCATATTATGCGCTAAGGTTAAAGTCAATCAAACAGTGTAAATTGATACAGTAGCCAATCAACATCGTTTGAGAAAGTGTTCTGACCAATGGTGAGAAAGTGTTCTGGTGAATTTTACGATCTACAGCTATACTTTAACATGGGGCTAATGTTATCCTATGAGTAATATTAATCATATGGGACTAATGTTAAGTCTATGGCATAGGAATAACATGGGTAATGCTAAGTCTATGGGGAGTGCTAATCCTATGGACTCTTATTGAATGTGTAGATAATGCTAATCTATTCTTTGATAATCACCCGAATAGTGGTTAACGTATTGCTGTGTGTGAGTTGTTTAACATTACGGTGGTTTATACCTTTTACACATATAATTCCGCTTCTATTCAATATTAGGCTAAGGGTGTAAAATAAGTAGTACTGTAATGATGATTTAAATAATATTTTTAAATATTTAATTATAAATATATTTTACAATTATTTGTACTAATTCTTAAAATATTAATTATTAAAACTATTAAAATAAAAATATTTTTATCAAATGTTGGGAATATTCCAAAATTGTATGACACATACGGATAGTTAGGAATATATCGAACCCTTTTTGTGTACAATTCCTATACAACACGAATGTGTGAATGAAATGAGTGTTTGTATTGACTATAACTGTATTACTACTGAAAGCAAAACATTAAATGTAAATAAATAGAAATGACTTCAGTTTTGAGCACAAAATACCATCATTTGATCCACAGATGGATGTCTTTAAGTCGACGAATGGTT